CTGAACAGGCCAAAAGGAGGACCTAACACGACTAGAAAGTTTCTCAGAAAGACTACAACTGTAGCTTTTACTCGGCATCGCGAGTCAGATGCGATGACAAAGTCCTTGGCAATAGAAGACACTTCCAGGCGAAGCTAGCTGCCAAAATATAGGCAAACCCAAAAGATCTCTACCTTCATAACTATGAGAAAACCTAAAAGCAAGGTGCTTTTACCCTTAGAGGATCAACCGAGATATGTCTGAGATCTTTAGCACCAACTTTACTAGCCAATCAAACCAGGTACGGAGCACTCACATATGGTGCCAGCTGATGGCCTAGGGAATATTCAGCTTAGTCCGGGCTAAGTACTAAGAAAACTCAGACCCTGCGCCCATGTAAGTAAATGTGACGTGACAGTTTTCGGTCTGTAATCGTGAAACAGTGTGCGGCTGATGATCAAGCAAATGTGGAAGTGCAGGGATATGAACAACACCCCCCCCATGAAAATTAACTAGGGATTAAGAACGGCATGATATGTAAATCCAATCCAAAGCATGGAACAGATGGAAAACCTTCTGGAACCAAAAATTGCTGGTCTACATAATACTACGCGAATTCAAAAAAGTTTTCAATACTGGCTTACTCACTCCTAATCGCTTAAGTTGCGAAGATGGGATTCATTGATCCACTTTATTCTTCAGAACAGGTTTCGTATGAAGGTAAATAGAGTGAATGAGAACTGAGGAGACAAAATATCACGAGTTTCACAGGGGGTTATCTAAGATTCGCCCCACGTCCTGATATTAATTAATGACATCTTAAATAAAGTTACCTCGGCATATCTAATCTTTGCAGACGATGGAAAGAACTACAGGTCCATAAGAAGCGACGAGGATTTATTTGAGCCTCAAAAGGACCCTACAACAATAGAGGAATGGGCTATTGATAGTGCGTTAATATTTAACCTGTCGGAATGTCTTGTCATCAACATTTTGATCCACGTGGCACAAACAACATACTTCCTCAATGAAAGTCCGCATCCTAATGTCTCCTCAGAGCTCGATCTCTGTCTCATAATCATAGACAGGCTGGACATCATTTCAAACAACTTAGGGGATGCAGCTAAGGCCAACGCAAATCTCGATTTTAAGCGAGGATCGTTCCCAGCTCTCTTTAAAACATACATGCAGCCACACCGTGAATTTCACAATGTCGTTGCAACCCGTCTCCTTAAAAAACATACAGATCTCCTAGATCGAGTGAAGAGGCAAGCAACTAAATGGGTGACAGCGTAAAGTATAAAACTGACGAGTAGAGACTCCCGGAGTCGAAGGTGATCCACTAACGGCATACACCATGTTGAGTGAACGGAATCATTTCAACACGAGCATCTTGTCAAAACACTACCACAATGCTCCACTAGATAGCCCTCGAATGATCACACACTGAAGAGCGAAAACCCAGTTATATGCCTACCTCTTCTCATTAAAACTTTTTCTAACTTGGAATTATCTCCTAGCCGAGGTGACCGCAGCCCTCCTTACAAGTAACTTTAGGAATAAACCTGACAAACAGGTACTCCTACACGGGTCATCATGTCCCACTTGGACTAGCTGTGTGACCCATATCTGGAAACTTGCTTGATGTTGTCATTGTCATTTCCTCAGACAAACAACTTATTTTAACTCGCTCAGTATCTCTGTTTCTTCTTTCCTCACACTCATATTCTCTCACGAATCTTAATGACCAATTAAACAACTTACTGTATTGTTGGACTATTTTTGGAAATTTCCTCTTCCGATTTGCAGTAGAATTTTCCTCTTATTATTATACACAATGTAATCTGATATTCAGCCTGCTAATGTGATAGATGCTAGTATTATTAAGTCCTACTACCCTGAAACAAAAACACTCGATCAAGGGACATGCTAATTCATCAATAACCGTCAGCTGACTAGAATTAGTGCAGTTGTGTGACTAAGCTAACGTCCATCAAAAATTGTCAAATACCCGAAATCGCAAAAAACGAACCAGAAGCAACTACAAAAAACTAAACTGGTTTACACTGGCTCGCGTAAAAGATATTGGATATTGGAATCAAAACATTGTTTGTTTGACTGTTTCGGTTGCATCAACTCAACTGACAGTTTCGAAGCTACAAAATTGTGATATGTTGTCCGATGCTGAGAAAAGAAAGCAAATAAGTGTTAGAGGGATTGCTCAATTGGAAAATGTGACAAATCTTAAGTCCGATTTCAATAGGCACCTGCACTTTGATGGTGTTAAGGATCGAAACGTCGCAACGTCCCTCGACTTCTATCAAGCGTTAGCACGTACAGTATGGGATCATCTTTGCTCCCGTTGGATTCGATCTCAGCAGTTTTACCATAGAGAAGATCCGAAGGTATGTCATCTTTTTGGCAACTCTCTCGATTTGCATGACTTTAACTGCTGGTATTGTGTTATATCTCGACTTCAAAACATAACACAAAGAGATCTCCAGCCTAACAAAAGTGTGGTTGTATATTCAGGTCTTTATAACCATTTCTTAACCAGAGGGCTCTTTTTCTACTCTAGCCACCGGGGGAGAATGACTTACTTGACTGCAGTCATTCCACGAACTATTGTGATGTATTCAGAACGATTGTAATACTAGCATCTAGAAACGTAGTTTTAAACTTATAATTGTTATATTCTGAAACACTTGTGTTAGAAGCTGGTTGCTAGCTTTTCTACAACAATCTGACGCATACTTTGGCCAGCGTGAATTCAAGAATCACGACGATTTGCCAACAAAGGAACAGATGAAGAGAAAACAGTTTCCATTGGGATAATTTTGTCATGATTTCAGATTGACAAAATAATAGACTAAAGACAAGGTTCCTCCTGATTTGTATTCAAAATATTTCCAGCCTGCAACTATGCGAGTGGAAACTGTTTTCTCACCATCTGTTCCTTTGTTGATAATTCGTCGTGATTATCGAATTTGTGCTTACTGAAGAATGCACCGAACTGTTGTGGAAAAGCTAGCATTATGTTCGTGGTATGTATCTAATATGTTCGATTCCGTGAATTTGGATTAAATTATTAACGTGTTGAGACCCATAATTTTGTAATTTACATCGATGAGTGAATATACTATGTAAGTAAATATCATGATGATGGGAAAGACGAAATGACTCTTTAGTAATCGGACTTAAAAATTACTTACACTTAAAAGTTAAGGGCTTGGAGGGGAAATCTTTTAACTAGAGGTTCGATATCACTGATAGTAATCACCTATACAATTTGTAAATCGACAGTGGTCTGAACTTTTCTACTGGCTAAAAATCAAAGTAAAGATTACGTCGTGGGGATTTTAAAGCATTTCTTAAATACTGACACTATGTGATGTTTGCTCTTATTGAAAGGATTGGGTAATCGGCTATTTTGCTGGAATACTTTCTTTTAACATTAAAAAGTTGTATAAATGTTAAATCTTTCTTCTAATCATTTTCTCTTGTTAAGCATTAGCGAAATAGTTCACGGGGTCGGTTTTCATTTGTGAAATCTTATATCGAGACGTGACCCTGCTAATAAAATATTTGGTTCTGCATGCGAATAACATTGCACGTATTCAAGCAAATGTAACTAAAACATTATTCACTCATTTGATACAACATTTATCAAGGGTCCTGCTTTGTTAACCACCTACTTATAGTGTGGTCTCAACCTTAATTTATTCCAGTAAACAAGTTTTTAAACTTAATCTCAGTTTTGTTGTTCAATATTTTTATGCCTGTTATTTGACTGTAAACGCATAAAATTAATTATCCTTTCTCCACATTACAGCGCATATACTACTTATCCTTAGAATTTTACATGGGTCGCACTTTGACAAATACTATGTTGAATGTAAACATTACTGCTGCAGTCGATGAAGCGATGTACCAAGTGAGTCGTAATGTCTTGTTGTTAAATTCAAAGTTTCAAATTTGTCATACGTTTTAGTTTGCGGTAAGGTATAAAGTGTGCGCACATTAACACGGTTTGTAATGTAAATAACTTGCTTTAAATTATGATCCCGTACCTTAATTTGACCACTCCTAATTTCATTAAACTTACTCTTGAACCCTTCATAATAAACTCACAAATTAAGGACTAGACGGATCCTCCCAAACTTAGTAAGATTCTAGGTTGAGTGAAGTTTAAAACCGTACTTCTGTCAGTGTGCTAAGGATTTGCCTCATAGTCTTACAACAACTGAATAACATTTCACCACTAGTGATATATCTATAGCTTTATGTTTGTCAACTTATATATGCTGAACAAGTTACTTCATGTAGATCCCATGTGAGGATGAAACGCCTTGTATATTGACACATAGAATGTGGAATACTGACATCATAATCAACCACAGTCTTAAAATCTATTTTTTAGTGTGGATGGATCTTATGGTGCCGCGGTTCATCAAATAGGTAATGGCGACACCCCGCTGCTATGCTCAAATAACCGGCTGTTTTTGGCAAACAACAACTTCATGCATAAAGAAAAACATCTTTCGACATGCTGATCTCTAAAATCGACCCAACTACACACATTTCTACCACCACCGACGGAGGCTCGATGCAAGACTAATGCTTGTTTTGTACACATGTTTAAGATCATGCTCTAGCACGAGCACGTACTTACCTGCGGCTTAATAGACGTAAGAAAGACACAATAAAGAAAGCCCCCAGAGTTCTGTTTAACGATGACAAATCCAAGAGTATATTTCCAGAGCAACTGGAAAAACAGTTGTGCAACCATGAGGTGGTTGAGACATGTTTTACATATGTCCACCCACCGGTTATCTCAATGAGTAATGTTGTTTGATGTACGAGTAGGCTAGATCAAAGCTAGGAGAGGCCAAATCGAAACATGGCACGAATCCATAAAGTCAGTGACAACTTGACTAAACCAGGTTAGTAGATGTGGACTATCTTGTTGGGGTCCGAGAGATAATAGTAGCCGATGGCTAGAGCCTTTGAATGACATGCCTCGAAACTGCTTGCACTAGCGTAAATGCATCCATTACTTGTCTTCCTCTAAATTCTAATCTTCTGAACCTCCTTTTCATATTTATTTCACTGGATCATACTTTTCGAATTACATCTTCGATCCCTAATTTTTCCGTTACCGCTAATACTACTTCTAACACTATGGAAATTGGCCTGACGATTTCATCTCTTCGTTCTAATGGGGTCCGGCAACTTGAGCCGATATACGTACGTACTAAGTCAGTCAGTCACTCAGTTACAACGTAGAACTCCGCACATGAGTACATAAGTTCAGGTTGCCATACCGCATCAGCCCAGAGGTGCGACTGTCAGTTCAAATCCCATAGTGCTCGAGATAGTAGAAGAATAAGCGGTAAGGGAGAATAATAGGGATCAAAGATATTATTATTCAAGGAGATAACTTAAGAAAGAGAACGATACAAATGATGAGGAATTCAGAAGGTTAGAATTTCGAAAAACATAGAGTGGATGCACCTGCGCCTTTACAAACGATTCCGAGCCATATCGTTCAAAGTCTCTAACCATCGCTTACTTTCGTCTCACGTACCGCAACCATGTAGTCGACACCTACCAATATGTCTCAGTTCACTTGTCAGTGACTTCATGGATTTGTGCAATGTTTTGGTTTGGCCACCCCTAGCTTTCTTCCAACCTACTCCTACACCACAAAACATAGCTCGATGAGGCAGTCGGTGGTCGGGCATTCGTAACACATGACCGAACCACCTCAACTGATGGTGTTTCACTACTTCATCAATTGATTTGACATCCCTACCTAGTATTCGTTTCCTAATGACAGCGTTGCTTACACGGCTGTCCCAGGATATACGAGCAATGCTTCGGGTACACCTATGATTTAAAACAAACAACCTACGAATGTCCTCTACTCTCACGGGCCATGTTTCTACCTTGACTGACTTGATTCTTAGCCAAACAAACAAACATCTCAAAACTTGTAACAACCAAATGTCTCTTTTGTATAGTACGTCTCGAAAAATACAAGGTGGGTAATGAAAATATTCTCACAACGGGTCGCGAAATTGTTTTAAAATAATGTACTAGGGAGTTTTTGGTCTATGCCATTCTAGATAGTCAGTATATTTACAAGAGGTATTGTCAAGAATGTTTTCAGGTAGTTTGATTTGACTATCAAATTATTTTATTTTTTCGATTTTATTTACTTGAACATAGCTGGGACTGGATATCGAAGAGTTAGAGGAAATGGAAGCGGATGCTGGTCTTGGTAATGGCGGGTTGGGTCGTCTAGCTGCATGCTTCTTGGATTCAATGGCAACATTAGGGTTAGCTGCTTATGGATACGGTATCCGTTATGACTATGGCATTTTCGAACAGACTATTCGTGATGGATGGCAGGTAAGCACATCTATATTTTAGACCATTATAAAACATTAAGTTATGTACCTAACCAGCCTTTATGTTGATGACTTCAATTCACTGATACGATTTAGTAAGAATAATTTAAGTGAAAGATTTTCTAGTGGTTCTTAAATTAGATTTTGACAGTTAACTTTTTTTTTTACTAATTCAATGTCGTTTGTATTCATTTGTAGTTTCGCAATACAACATTAATTTATATTAATTGATTCACTTTAATTTTCACTCACTTGGCTTTTGTTGAGTGCAATATTCGATTGTAATAATTCGAAGTGACAATTCAACTTGATAATTTCTGTAATTAATAACCACTGAATTTAGTCGGAATATAACTAGATGAACTAGAGAGTAATTTGAATTCTTCCGGAGTTTTGCCGAAAAAGTCATCTTTGCAAGATTCGTATGTTTCATTAGCCGCAACTAGTAAAAGAAGGAAGCTGCTATCCTGGTTCAGAATGACGCTGTGGTAGTTGTTGTTACCACAAGCTATCCCAAGATATAATTAGCATTATATAAAATCCATCAGTAAGGAACGCGTATATGTTTACATAAAATTTCCTATTTTTTATTTAGGAGAAATTATCCAGGAAGATTTTGTTTTGTTATGTTGGTTACTGACTAAATACACAAAATGTAATCATTTCAAGGCTACTTTAGTTTAGAGTGCATTGTCTATTTATTCTTATTTTTTTCTTTATACTCAGGTTGAAGAACCCGATGAATGGTTACGATTTGGAAACCCATGGGAGAAAGGAAGACCAGAGTATTGTTATCCAGTCAATTTTTATGGTCGTGTTGAAGATGCTGGAAATGGACGTAGACGATGGGTTGATGCGCATCCAGTTTTTGCAATGCCCTATGACACCCCGGTTCCAGGGTACAGAAATAATACTTGCAATACTCTTCGATTGTGGTCTGCCAAAGCTCCAAAAAGTTTCGATCTCGGTATATTTAATATGGGTGATTATATCAACGTAAGATAATATGTTTTTTGTTCAATATTTTTGACAAAACAATTGACATTTCCTAACAACCATATTGTTGTAAACGCGGCTACGTAAATCTTCAGTCCTAACGGCGTCCAATTCAAATATCACAAAACGACCCAAAGGCTTTCCCAAATCTCCTAGAAATCAGAACGTAACACCGTGGCAGGAAGATGTTTATTGGGTCGTAAACAGAAGAAGTAGGCAGGGGAAACGGAATTATCAAGTCTTCCAAATAGCGCGTATTTATACACTAAGGTCGAATAAGAAAAAGCATCAACGTCCGTGACATTGACAATTTAGGACGACCAATAGAAAAGAACATTTGAATGACATTGACCGTCCAGATGACCAATAGGAAGTAGCATTGAAGTATTTGACCCTGACGGTAAGAACGATCATAATTTCGGCCAATAGAATTCGACCAATAGGATTGCAGTTCTAAAAATAGTATTCTTAGGATATTTGGTGAATATCCTAACACCTCCCTCTGGAAGAAAATAAAGGGAAAAATAACAGCGACACAGCCGAGGGTTTACTTGAAATTACTTGATTTTCTTCGCTTGCGTTTCGACCACCTCGGAGATAAAATCCCTGGAGCTGTAGGATGTTCTGTTTGAGTAGATGACTCGATAGTGTCTGTTGGAGGTATTGGCGGAACTTGATAAGTATCCAACAGCAAACAGAGTGGGAGACGCTTCGTAATTTTACCTTTCTCTTTATCTCCCCCTGGCCTTAGTTGATCACGAGGTCTTTTGGTATTTGAAAGGCTTTTCATGATATCCTTATCATTTACTAGCTTCACTTCGACGCTTGAAGATTTACAAGAAAGAATGGAGTCACGTGAATATCTTTTTCTGTTTATTGTATCATGGTTTTCTCCATCACCCCAGTTTGCTTTATCTTGGGACTTGACATGCATGGTGACGTCACACAAGTTATCTGAGATCACATTTTCTTCAGGCATGGCAACTGGCTGCAGTCCGATACCAGGCTGAAGCGGTTCAGTGAGTCGTTTTTGAAAATCTGCAGCATGCTGTTGTGTAACGGCAGGAGTTTTTACTTGATTGCAGACAGTATTGATGGGAAGATCAGCGAGACCAAGTTTTTCGAACCAATCTAACCCCAGAAGGTTGTGAGGAGACTTGTTGATATAGCATGTTCCATTGAAGGTTGTATCTCTGAACGAAACACAGCAATCAAGTTTACCACGAAGACGAAGGTGACCCCCACAGGCACTGACAACTGTCTGCGATGATGGTTTGATGCGTGGTTGACCCAAGGTTCGCCAAGTCTCTTCTGACAGAATAGTGATATCTGATGCAGTATCCAACTGCATTCGAACCAGCTGACCATTGATCGAGAGGGTCAAAAATTTGCGTCGAGTAGAAGCATCGGTGTGAAAAGCTGCTGCTAAACTCCTAGATGCAGCAAACGGCTTTCTGGGATAACGGCGCTGCGACTGTGAATTTCGCCGGCCAGTGAATCGGGTTGATTGGCAAAAACCGCTTTTATGACCAATTTTCTGACAGCGATTGCACACATGCTGCTTGAATGGACAAAATTTCACATAATGCCAGTCTCCACAGTGCCAACATGGTGAGGGGGGCTTCTTATGCGTTGATTTTGAGTGATTAGGAACAGAACTGGCATTCGAACGACCAAAGGTTTTCGATCTAGAAGATTTGTTCTGTTGCTGAACAACGTGAACTTCGGAACCACCGTGGCTCCCAGATTGAACCAAAGTGTTGTCACACTGTAAGTTGGTGATGCGTTGGTACTCATCAGCGATAGCATCGAGTGTCAGTGTTGGGTCTTGTTCGAGGCGGTTAAGCAATCGAGTTCTGATGTCGGAGAATTTGGGCGATTGTAGACTGCATATGAATATGAGTGATTTGAATTGGTCATCAGTAAGGGATCTGTGTTTGAACCGTTCACACTCGCGGTTGACAATACCAACATGAGTCAAGAAGTCATCGGACTCATTCATGACTAGTTTTAAACAACGATAACGTGTATTGAAAATAGAATGCTGATCCCCAAAAAGTTTGCTGAGGGACTGAACCGTAGCATCGAATGATCTGTCACGTGGGTTCTGCGGTAGGATGTAGTTGCGATACTTGTCCAGTTCTGACGGACCAAGTTTTCGAAGGAGAAGACGCACCTTCCAGGAATCATCTTTGTCAGCAAAATCAACTTTGAAAAGATCTTCATAACGCATGAACCAAGTATCAAATGTAATATTGGCGTCAGGATCATACAGAAACTCAGAAATACTACTGGTCATACCATCAACTGACTGAGGAATTGTTGGTGTAGATGAGACTTGAGAAGAGATGTGCGTCTGAGTAAGCATCTCCATCAGCTTCAGCTGCTGTGCAAACAATTTTTCTAATGTAGCTGGATCCATAATTAGTCACCAACCCGTCGCCAAATTTGTTGTAAACGCGGCTACGTAAATCTTCAGTCCTAACGGCGTCCAATTCAAATATCACAAAACGACCCAAAGGCTTTCCCAAATCTCCTAGAAATCAGAACGTAACACCGTGGCAGGAAGATGTTTATTGGGTCGTAAACAGAACAAGTAGGCAGGGGAAACGGAATTATCAAGTCTTCCAAATAGCGCGTATTTATACACTAAGGTCGAATAAGAAAAAGCATCAACGTCCGTGACATTGACAATTTAGGACGACCAATAGAAAAGAACATTTGAATGACATTGACCGTCCAGATGACCAATAGGAAGTAGCGTTGAAGTATTTGACCCTGACGGTAAGAACGATCAAAATTTCGGCCAATAGAATTCGACCAATAGGATTGCAGTTCTAAAAATAGTATTCTTAGGATATTTGGTGAATATCCTAACACATATTCTGTTTGACTAAAAACAGTGTTAGTTACTGTATGATATTGTTTGCCGTTAGATTATATATTGAAGCAGAAATCCACACAATGATATTGATACTATTATTTTATGCACTTGCAGCTTTAACATAATGGATTGCTCTGGGATTAAATTAAGTTTTTTTACAATTAGTTTACCAAATTTAACGAACCAGTTGTTTAGTACTTAAGACATTCATTATTGAACTATCAGGTTGAAATAGCACATGGGTAACGTGAATTCTAGCTCAAAGTTAAATCTATAACAACGTCGGAACCACACCACTTAACTATGTTTAGATGAGTATCACCATGGTAGCACTGTGAATGTATTTCATACATCTGCTTACCATAGAATAATCCTAAATATTAGATAAATGACTTAAACCTAAAAAAAATCCTAATTCTAATTTGGAACAGTAAAATTGGGCTTAGAACTCTTGAATGTACTTGAGATGTGTAACAAATGAAACTAGTTTTTAGGTTTGTTCAATGAACTGAAGATTTTTTCAATATCAGGAAAAGTAATAAATATTAAATTTCTATGAGGATCTCTATGTTCAGAACATTTGGTAGAGATCACAAGAGGTTTATGAATGTACCATATACTTAAAAGAAATACTGTTAACTCCTGATAATTTAGAATTTGACACATTTTAAACTCTTTTTTTACAATCTTAGAAGCCATATTACTCATCACTTATACACCTTTGTTTACACTGATTTGTACATTTTATTGAATGTTTTGCCACTGATGAATTTTGAAATGATGATCGTTTGTATTCAGTTACAAGGTAGTCCTCCCTTAAGTTTCATTTTAGGCCATTTTCCACTAAATAATGTAAACTCCATTTCTATGCAACAGTCATAGAAACAGGAATTCACCTTTCCCAGTCATACTATTCGGCTCACCAAATATTCATTCTTTATATGACCCAATGCTATTATCTATTTCAGCATTGTACAAAAAGTAACAAGATTTTGTAAATCAGCAAATGTGTTTAAGACATCAGTAAGTTTGCGAATTTGTTTTTACCATACTCAGAAATATTTTGATGATTTCTTTTTGTTTTAATATTACAGGCCGTATGTGCACGTAATCATGCGGAAAATATTTCCCGAGTTCTTTATCCAAACGATAATTTCTTTGTTGGAAAGGAACTTCGTCTTCGTCAAGAGTATTTCTTAGTTGCTGCTACTTTGCAGGTAATATTTTGTGAAAAATCTATTTTGTTAAAACAAATCTTATAACATCGCCTCTGTTTCTTCTTTAAGTGACTGGAAAAAGTTAAATATAAATATACCGATGGTTCACATCTCCAACGTCAACCCTAAGCAAACCTGACAATTACACTAAGCGAAAGTCACTGATTAGCATTGATATATGATTAATGGTTCGTAGAGGTACTGTGCATAATTTTCTGTTATTCAACATATCTGGTACATAGTCAACATACGACGTTACTAATTTCATCAAAATAAAATTCACATTGTCATGGTGAATCTGTGGGAGCTGATCCTTTCCGTAGTTAATTCGTTTACGCATCTATTAACCTTTGTTTCCTGTTTGTTTATTTTCACAGGATATAATTCGGCGTTTTCGAAGCAATGATTCTCACCATAGATCGTTTGATGAATTTCCCAAAAAAGTCGCTATCCAATTGAATGATACACATCCCTCACTTGCAATTCCTGAATTACTGCGTATCTTAGTTGACTTGGAAGGTTTAGAGTGGAAAAAGGTAAGCATCTTATTTAATACTGTATAGTCATTAAAGTTTCTAACACTTTTAAACTCATTTTTCGGGTAGACAAAATTTTATGTCATTCTTTATTCTTTCTATAGGCTCAATAGGCTCGATTGGCTTTTGCCAACCTGCGTCACTTATGGCGTAGGCGAGATATCCGTTTGCTGACTAAAGGACGAGTGTACTGCGCAGTGGTTCGCTCCGTCTTACTTTATGGCTGTGAAACATGGCCAATGAGAGTAGAAGATACTCGTCGGTTATTGGTTTTCGATCATAGATGTCTTCGAAGCATTGCTCGAATACCGTGGGACACCCGAGTGAGCAACGCTGTTATTAGGAAACGGGTACTAGGTAAGAATGGCAGATCAATCGATGAAGTGGCGAAACTTCATCAGTTGAGGTGGTTGGGACACGTGTTGCGTATGCCTAACCAGCGACTCCCTCGTCGAGCTTTATTTTGTAGTGTAGGAATAGGTTGGAAGAAAGCTAGGGGCGGCCAGACCAAAACATGGCAGAAATCCATGAAGTCATTGACGAGTGGACTGAGCCATGTCGGTAATTGTCGACTACCTGGTTGGGGTCCGCGAGATGATAATAATCGATGGTTAGAGACCTTGAATGACATGGCTCAAAATCGTTCGCAATGGCGCCGGTGCATTTATTCTTTGTGCTCTCTCAAATCCTAATCTTCTGAGTTCTTCAACACCTCTAGTTTTTACTTTCTAAACTTATCTCATTGAATCATACTTCGTGAATAATATCTTCTAATTCTAACCTCTCCGATTACTTCTAGTACCTTTACTACCTCTTCTACTATTGGATTTGAATTGACAATTATATCTCTGTGCTGATGTGGTATGGCGACATGAACTGATGTACTTACGTACGAAGTTCTACGTTGCAACTGACTGACTGACTGACTCTATCAAATAACACCAACAAAAATATGTCAAGTTACTGACACATTTTACTTGACGCGATCGATCTTGACACTAGTTTAAATGAGGTCCCAGCCGACAATAACACAGTGAGATATTTTCAAATCATGAAGAAAGTGTGTTTCCAATCACCGTAAGTAGCATGTTAGGAAGCCTGGTTATTACCATAAGTAATCATTGCATTCAAATGTAATAATAGGCGTTTTGTTTTGGAACACTTTAAGAGATGAAGTTAAATATATACAAGGGATCAAATTATTATTATTATTTTGGCTATTTTCAGTAAATAAATGAATATTAAGACGCCTAATAAACACTACAAATGGTTATTTAATATTTTGGTGTTAGAGGCAGATGTACTAAAAAGAAATAACAAACAGATTGATGAGGTAGTCAATCCTCACCGAATAAAAGGGTTAGAACATGTAATGTATATTTCTAACAGCCACCTACGTGGACAAATGTGTTTACTGGTGTGGTGGTAGGTTGGAATAAAGCTAAGGACGACGAATTGAAGACAAAGTATGGGTTCATAAAATCGTTGACTGTTAGTAAGATTGTGGTACGCGCTACTTATAAGTAGTATATGACGCGAGTGTAAACGTAATGTCTGGCAGCAGAAGATGGGGGAAGATCAAGAAAGGAAGAAGAGTGGGAACACAATGGAATTTGTATGAAACGCATGAATAGTGAAATGTCAGACAATGGATTGATGATGGATTGAAGATTTGCAAATGAACCGTTTACGATATGGTTTTCCTATTTTACTGAGTAACTCTGTAATTTGCGATAAATAAAATTCGATTGCCCTCACCTGTGTTCTCCTTCACTACAAGATGACCGTAAATAATGGTTCGATAAGTTGAATGGTATGTCTCAGAGTTGGTTGTAATGATACAGATACATTCACTCCCATCTTTACCTAAATTTGGAGTGATCCCATACTTTATATTATAAAGATTGGCTCTTTCATATCCATGGTGTCTTTTCTAATTTCACTGCCACTACTCTGGCATTTCTATAGAGAATTTTATCACCTTATGTTGATATAGTGTGATAGCTTAAACGGAAGCACATATATATACCAGGTTTTATGTTCTTACAACTAATTGACTGACTGGTAAACTAATCATTATTTTATATCTTTTGTACCAGTGTTATAAAAAAGCGCATCCTATTAATTTACACCTTTCACAAACTGTAAATTATATTAACATGATAAAAACTAGAAAATATTAATGTTCAGGTCATTTTGTTGAGCTTATTTTTTTTCACCTAATCTTATATATTTTGTTTATCCTACATCCAACAAGGCATGGGATATAAGTTACAATACATTTGCTTATACAAATCATACAATCCTACCAGAAGCATTAGAACGTTGGCCTGTTACATTGTTGGAGCATATATTACCACGTCATCTGGAAATTATCTATCAGATTAATGCTGAGTTCTTAGATGTAAGTTTTTATGTAAATGTTAGTTTGAATACTTAAATATACATATACAGATAGATAAATATAATATTTTGCTATAAGATTTTATAAATAAAATGCAAATAATGCAAAGTAGTAGATATTGAATTTTCTGTGAAACAAACAATCGGGATGATTTATCAATTGCACAGGCCTAGTTTGATGGATACTACTTACAAGGTGGCTTATAAACAGTATGCTGCGGAGTGCCACCTAGAAGTTACTGCTGGAGTGAAGAATGTCGGATCCTGCTGTATGGCGTGCTCAAAGTATTTTGAGGACTAAAAGACATGTAAAAGGAGGCAGTCAAGATTCTGTTCGCTTTGCAAATGAAGTAGGAAGAAAAGCTGTAGACATTTTGCTATTAAATGGTGTCTTTTTTAATAAATCACTACATCTATCTGGTCTTACGTCTTCATTCATTACACTATCAACAAGATAAGTATAAAGTAAGGTGAAGATCATTCAGCAATTTCTTAAACTAAAAGTAGCTTAATTAACATAGAAAACGTTCGACATAGTGATTTTCAGTCTATTTCACTGAAAACATGTAATCTTTGAAAGGAATAGTTCCAGTATCAAAAAATAGGTTAAATGTTTGTGAAAAATTTTATCAATGTATACATTCATATGTTTCATCAGTTGCAAATGTCTCATCAAATTCTTCTTTTGTTTAGTGTTCATTATTTTTACTATTTTCAGGCACTGTTCACGTTTTTTCAATCCAAACCTGATTGTTTTTTATGAACATCCGTTTCAAAAAGTCTTACTTAGTGATCAATAATCTTTCCTCTGCAAATTTAACTTATGACTTGTCAGTATTAATTAAAACTCCTTAATTTTATGTATAATAATCATGCAATATCAGTACTCAATCTATTTTTCATGTCTATAGAATTTCCCCTAAAATGTATGCTAATATTTTAAAGACATACATTACCTTTGTATTTCTGCTTTGTTTTTTTTTTCATCTAGATTGTACGTGCAAAATGGCCAAATGATAATGATCGTATACGTCGTATGTCATTAGTTGAAGAGGAAGGTGAAAAACGTATTAATATGGCCTACTTGTGTATTGTAGGTTCTCACACAGTTAATGGAGTTGCAGCAATACATTCACATTTATTGAAAACTCAAACGTAAGACATTTTTACTTCACAATGGACTCATGTCATCACAGTTTATAATTTTATTATGTTGCTTCAATGCTAGTTTACATGTGAGTAAAGAAAAGTGAATTTCTCAAAGTGATGAAGTTGTAACTGAGAAAACAGGATCAATGATGATAATTTATGATATCAGTGACTGGAAAGCAAAGACTGTTCGATGATGTTGTGCTCTCGGAACTAGAGATGATTTAATTTAGAAAGTGTCGTCATCTTTTTGAACGATGTCATTAGCGCCTACTGCAGAAAGGAGCTTTTCATTTATTAATATAACGGAGGTTGTGAAGACTGTAGAACCCTCGTAGCTTAGATTACAAATTGATCTCAGCTAGGCCACCATTGGAAACCTGGTAATCCTGGAATAGCTCACTAAATGAGTAGCCTCCGGATCCAACTCAGAGTTCAAGTGAAAGGCGGTGACTAGTAGAGTTCAACCATATCAGCCGTGAGACAGTTATCTAAAGCTAACAATGGAGGGGAGTTGTGCAACATTTTGCTTTGGTTGAAGTTAGACACGTAAATCATCAGATGCCAGCTCAGTGGTCTCGAGTTTAAGCGTTCGCATATGAGACCGAAGGTTCGGGTTTCAATTCTCGGATGTAGAGTTATGAATTTACACTGCCTTGGAGTTCCATACTAGGACAAAAAGGTTATTCAATGCTTCCCGGTTTCCAATGGTAGTCTGGCTAAGATCAATTCATAAACTGAACTAGTGTATGTTTGTTAAGTGAGTTCAATCTAGTGGCCTTGCTTCCTAATTGATTGTTATATTCAGTTTTGTTGTCTTCATTTGTTCTTATATTCATGTTAACTGTCTTTTTCCAGGTGACCTCATGTTATGTAATTAATTGACTTCTTAAGTATAGGTTTACATATATGATTTATGTTCATATATCTTTTTACTATCATTTGATCTGAATCAGATGCCTATGGGAATCTCCCGGCATTTCAAGAATTTCCTCAGTCCATAATTTTGAGATTTTGTAAGCCGGTTTCATGTCTATTGTTGTCTACGTACATTGACATTAATGATAGTATGTCATGTCTACCCATTCTTATTTCGCGTTTTTAAATAAATGATACTCTTATCTATTCACATCGTTATTTGCTGAGTTGTGCAATCTATTTTGTTTTAGTAACTAATACTCTTTTTATTGAAGAGTCAATTACATCGATAGTATCTGTAATCGTTTATAACGGTTTCCTTGTCTTTCTAAATCTCTCCTAATCTATTAGGTTCGCAACCAGTTAGCTGCGAGTCTATAAGATAAAATAATTTTAGTGTTTCTTGTAGTAAAGCTCCTATGGTTCAAAAATTTGTCTATTTTCGTCGAGTCAAATGTTTGAAAAGTTAGTTCTCTTCAGCCTTAATGGTCATATTGTATCTCTTGTTTTCATGTAAAATGCATGATTCAAACCCTTGTAGCGTTAAATTATAATTGACAAATAGTCTCTTAGTTTATACGAATTATCCTTTTTCACTCATGAAACTGTAACTTGTCAATTCAATTCATTTCATTTTACGGATAGAATTTTGTACTTCTGTCACTTTTCTTCGTTTGAGCAGTTACTTAGTGATATCCGAGTTAACAAAGTAGAATTGACTCGTATTTCGTTGCAAAATGAACGGTATACAATCAGCTGTTGCTTAACGTTTTAGCCTGATAACCATCTGATGTTATTTCACTTCTCATATTGCCTATGCCAGTCACTAAGTGAGACTTATTTATCTCATACTTCTCGCTATTCTCTTTACTTTATTAACCTGTACAATTTTGTTTAATTATAGTTTCAAAGATTTTGCTGAATTATGGCCAAATAAATTTCAGAATAAAACAAATGGTATCACACCTCGTCGTTGGTTACTATTATGTAATCCAAATTTGTCAGATTTAATTATGGAAGGAATGAACGGCAGTGATTCATGGATTGTTAATCTCAGTGAAATTGCTCAGTTAAAATCACGTATAAATGATGTGAATTTTCTGCGTCAATTGATACGTATTAAACGGGAAAACAAGGCTAAATTCGCTTCTTATTTAGAACAACATTATGGCGTAATAATCAATCCAGCATCTCTATTTGATATCCAAGTGAGATTCAGTTGCTTCAATTCACTTTGATAAAAATATTTTGTCGATATTTTGATTGCTTAAAATGATTAACTATACAAACCAACGTTAATTTTTAATACTGAACGATTGACAATTTGAACATGGACGTCTTGGCAACTTTGATGGGTATTCACATTTACCTGTGTTTTGATCAACTTCACAAACCATCGAATATTTCTGATATTTTATCGTAAATTGACTGAATTCAAGTTTTTCCAGAACCGCTATCGTCAGTGATTAGGCATTGATTTTGGACCATCATATCTCTTTACATATCTCATCTCTAATATATTGATTTATGTTTTATTTTTCCTTAAGACAAATCCGAATTCATTGAATTTTGAACAACACTAGTCTGTTTATTAAGGTTTTGATTCACATGATAAAACTGTTCGATTCATTCGGTTCACCTCAGATGGTGCTTACCAACTTCTTGCATTGATTTATGTAGGATAAATGTTTGGTTATCTGCTTATCTTCTTAAAAAAATACCTGAATAAAGATATTAAAATAACTTTGATGTTTGAATTACCCATCATAATATGAACAAAGCGTTTTTAACTGACTTGAACTTGAGTTAATGGATTCTCTATATTTCAGAAGTATGGTATTCTTCTTAAAACTATTACGTCATCACGTTGCATTATGATTACTGTATTTTCAGAGTTTGTCATGACTTAAGTCTATAACTGTTATCCTCACTTGGTTACAGTTACTGTAAGGTGTAGGAGGCTATAAAAATATTCCTACCAATTGTGCTATGACTATTCTCAGGGTGAATATCAATAAATCATTAATAATTATTATTCACAAACGGTCTCTTACGTATCTTAAAAATTGTCTATTCAAACTCTGTTAACACACTGTTAATTATCTTAAAGTATCAATCTGGTTCATTTGACAAAAATTATCTCCGACATTGTAGAAGGCAATAGACTCAAAACATATAGAGAGATTTAATGTCATACATCAAAATCTCTTGAATTTCCTATCCGTGCTATCATACTACTTACTACTCATACTAAATTTAAATTTTCTAGGATTTACAATCAACACAAAATATTTGAGCTTTTAAAATTCTCTTTACATTATCTGGAAGTTCACTAATGTAAATAAAAACTATTGATGTGTATATACTCTTTTTTTTCTTATCTTTTAAATTTAAATTTCTTTTTTTTTGTCAAATTTTTAGGTTAAAAGAATTCATGAATATAAACGTCAACTATTAAACTGTCTGCATGTTATCACTTTATATAATCGTATTAAAGCTAATCCTGAAATGCCAATATGTCCACGTACAGTTATGATTGGTGGTAAAGCTGCTCCAGGTTATCATATGGCTAAACTTATTATCAAGTTGATTAATTCTGTTGGTAAAGTTGTTAATAATGATCCAGTTGTACGTGGTAGAATTAAAGTAAGTGGAAACAAGTATTGTTTGATTCATTATTTCATAGTTTACTATGTAGTTATATATGTGTGTGTTGTGATAGTTGTAACACTCTCTACTTGTTTCCATTAGGCTAACGAATTCAAAAACGTAGTTGTTCTATATCATATGAGTTAACAAATTAGAAACTCATACATATATGTATATTTACCCCGGTTTTAAAAAGCTATCATTAAGGGACTTTAGTACTTTCGAAAAACACAAGTTTATTGTCAATCGTATAAACTAACGATACCTCAAATTTATCAAGTAATTAGTCGGCTTTGACATGCGAAAAAATTCTTCTATCCTCGCTAATAAATATTTTAACTTCCCAGTAACCATCATATCCAGTTTTTCTTATTTTGCAATTAATTCCATAGAAAAATTGCTTGGAATTCAACTTTAAACTTGTACAAGTATGAGTTGAAACATCAACTGTAGTATAGAGACCAGTTTATTAACCTAATAAACATTTTATGATAGAATTAAGCATTCATCATAAAACATGAATCATAAAGATAATTTTATTCATTCGTATACTTAACTTTCAACAACAACAACATAGAACTTTGTACGTACGTACATCAATTCAAGTTGCCATACCACATTAGCACACAGAGATGCAATTGTCACTTCAAATCCCATAGTAGTAGAGGTAGTAAAGGCATTAGCAGTAATCGGAGAGATTAGGGTTCATAGATATTATTCAAGAAGTGGAATCTAGTGAAACAAACTTAAAAGAAAAAGACAAAGTGATGAGGAACTCCGAAGGCTAGAATTTGAGAGAACACAAAGAGTGGATGCACCTGCGCCATTGCAAACGGTTTTGAGCCATGTCATTCAGGGTCTCTAACCATTGATGACTATCATCTCGCGGGCCCCAACCAGGTACTCTGCACCTACCAACATGACTTAGTCCACTTGTTAGTGAATTCATGGATTTCTACCATGTTTTGGTTTGGCCGCCCCCTCCTTTCTCCCAATCTATTCCTACATCACAAACTTTCACGTAAAAAGCAAACACATCAATTTTATGATCAATATACATTTTGTTCCTATCTTTTCTTTTTACATAATTTTATCTATTATAGCTTATTTTCCTTGAAAATTATCGTGTTTCTTTGGCTGAAAAAATATTCCCCGCAGCTGAATTATCTGAACAAATTTCTACAGCTGGTACAGAAGCGTCAGGTACCGGTAACATGAAATTTATGGTAAGTCAGTTAAAAATTATTCAACTTACTTCTTCACAGAAGAGATGCAAAATATTGATTTTTTTATTCAGTATGCTGGTCTTCGAATTTCGGATTTCTTCTCTAAGTTCTACTTGCAAAAGGTCCATTGTAGTGCCTCCACATATATTCGAGTTCGCTTACATCTAACTTGGTTAAGCCCTTTCGATTAATTTATTTAACCAAGCCATTTGTGTATTGCAACAATTTATATGTACCATTCGTTCTTAGTATCGTCTGGTTTGTATGGGCTCACATGACGTGTCCTACTTGTCATTTGACCTTGTCAACCATTCGTCGCTTTTATTCATGTGTGCCTATTTTGCTTGTCGTATGTCTGTCTTATATTTGTCTGACTATATATATTCTTAGTCACGCTCTGTCTCGTTGACTTGGCTCAACAGCGTTCTCCAACGCGCTTCTCCAACTCACGTCGCTTCATTAGTTTTATTCACTGCTTTTCCGCTCCGCTTTGTGGTGTGTCCCGAATAAACGTATTCATCACAACGAGTTCACCTGATTTATGACCATCAGACGCCATTTAGTAACGATTGTCTAGACGAGCTAATTACCGAGCTTAAGAACACGCAGTAAATCGACACACTACTCTATCACAACATTGAAATGCAAAAAGAATTATCGCTCCCACTTACAGTTGTGTTTATAATGTATTTCACTATTTCTATACCATCTATGTTAACTGTACTTCATTTCATTTCCATGTTATGCATACTAACTTGTGCTCTCAGAGAGGCAGGGTTTTGAATTTTTTTTCTATTCACAAAACTAAGTGCAATTTTTTTAATTGTGACCAAGTAAAAAGTACATACGAAACTGACTTAAAATAGTTATGACTATTGCATTACTAGTTTTACTATCAATGTAATACAGCCGAACAACAGATAAAATGTAAGTAATAAGCTGAGTAACAGCTTAAATCTTCATTGAAATACTGACCAATAAAACCTCCATTCATATTCTTTGAATAATATTACTGTTTCATCAGAAAGGCTTTTAGTTCCATTAAGATGTACCACAATTTAATAGTGTCGTTAGCTAGTATGTGTTCCATGAAAATTGATTGGTTTCAGTTTTTCTAAATTCAAGAAAGACCAATTCACATTCTGAGAATACTCATACAAACTTTAAGTTCGTTGATGTTAGATTAAAACAGAATATTTTAATACGATAGTTGATCTATTCCATTTAGCAATCATTAATGAAATCGTAAACTAGGGAAATAAACAGTAGCCTATTTTTCACCCCAAACTTTCTGACATTTCTTCTATTTGTATTGTTTAAACAGTTATCAGATTTTCAATTAGAGTTATGGAGATTAGTGTTTATACACATTTGAAATCATCAACCATCCAATGATTGTTAAACCACCATTAAAAACCTGGAAGCACTGATATACGGCCGTTTCGTCCTAGTATGGGACTCGTCACCAGTGCGCATCCGTGACTCCTACACCTCGCAGGATTCGAACCTGGGACCTTCTGTCTAATGCGCGAACGCCTAACCTCTAGACCACTGTATTAATGTCTAACTTTGATTGATCTATGGATTCTACTTTCATGACATGTGCCCATATAGTTTGTACTTAGTCTTTTTTAAAGATAGTTTAATTGATATTATAATCGTTAATATGTAGCTTTAGTGAAGATTCTTTTTTAACTGTCATATTCAAACTTACAGGTTATTTTTATAATTTTATTGGTACACTGAGATGTCTAGGAAAATAATCTCCCTTCATACTGTTTTTTGTATTTTAGCTTAATGGAGCTATGACTATTGGTACAATGGATGGAGCAAACGTAGAGATGTGTGAAGAAATGGGTCGAGAGAATATGTTTGTATTCGGTTTGACTGTAGAACAAGTTGATGCTCTTTACAAAGCTGGGTAAGTTATTTGTATAGAAGAGCTACTATGATAATGCATATTGTTTATGTATATTCATTTGTCTAAATTTTAAAATCGTCCTATTGTGATTTTTATTTTTTGCAAATTAATAAAATTAGTGTATGTATGTCTGTTAAAATTTCCAGCAGATAACATTGTTCTTTATTGGTTTTTGAACAGTAAACTCCGATAATCTTATGTTTCCTGGTTTCTCTGCGTTGTTTGTTTGTTCTACAAAAAACACATCATCTGCCCTGTCATATATATATTTTTCCGAACAATTGTCGCGCTGTACGACACATCAATATTATTTTATTGATTTATTGATTATATGACAAAAGTTATTGATAAAACATGCATGCTATTTCCAAAAGACAGTTGACATTTCCCTGTGGGGTGTTGTTACATTCATTGTTCGAATATAAAAAAATATAAACAGAACGAAAAAAAAATAATCATTAGCTTTTCACTAGAAGTTATATGCATTCAGTGGACAATTTTTTTTTTAATGGGCGTAATTGACTACAATCAGTTATGTATGAGTGAAAGACGATTTAGTCAATGTTTCATCAGTTCAATTCTTCTCCTGTATATCTTTTAATTTCATCAAAGCGGTCAGTGTCACTTTGAAAAACAAAACATTTTGTATTTAGTTCATACATGTAAGAAACAATGACTAATTGATTAAAGTTCCATCTTCTGATTCAAATAACTCCGGTCATATCTGAAAATACACCTTGAGTTGTTAAACTAAAAATTAACTTCATAGGAAATATGGGGATGAAAATATATATTCAAATAAACAACCAGACGGTTGTGAAGACATAAGGACATGTCATGTTTGGACTTGATCTGATGAAGTATTCAGTTGATTCATGACCCTTCAGTTTCAGATCATGACTCGAGTAGGATGTAGATCATGACCCTTCAACCCCTACAAACTTGTGACCGTTGGTTTCGAAGATCTTTAAGGACGAATAGTTATGCGAACGTGCGTATAGAAATCAAATTCAATCCCTTCCAAGCATGTTAGTGGGGACACAATTAGACAGTTTTCTTATTACAACCATAGCACTAAACCTGGTCATCAAGATATTTGCTAGTAGATTTGAACTTCAGAATTACGTTGTTCAAAATACATCAAGAACCTTCAGATGTACCAACTATGAATGAGTGAACTAGAATTTATTGCGTCTTAATATTATGGAATTTTGTTGATCATTTTTACATTCAAGTCCCAAATTGCTTGTGTTGATCAAAGTTAGAACAGTATTAACTAACCAACAAAGATAAACTATGTATGGTCAAGTTTCAAATTAAAAACAAACCCTAAGCAACAGTGGAAGCATGTTCGGGATGCACTTTTCCCCCTCGAAATGCAAAATATTGCTTCAAGATTGGGTTGCATCGGCACCTGAACTAGTGACAGGGAGTGAAGTAGTCGAGGGTGTAGATCGGTTCATTTACCTTGAGAGTCTCATCAGTGCTGATGGCCTGGTGACTGACGAAATCTCAGCACGGATACAGAAAGCTCGATTGGCTTTTGCCAATCTGCGTCACTCATAGAGTAGGCGAGATATCCGTTTACTGACTAAAGGACTAGTGTATTGCACAGCAGTTCGCTCCGTCCTACTTTATGGCTGTGAAACATGACCGTTAAGAGTAGAGGACATCCGTAGATTATTATTATTCGATTATGGATATCTTCGAAAAATTGCTCGTATATCCTTGAACAGCCGATTAAGCAATGCAATAGTCAGGAAACCAGTACTAAGTAGGGATGGCAGATCAGTTGATGAAGTAGTGAAACTCCATCAGTTGAGGTGGTTGGGACAGTTGTTACGAATGCTCAACCACCGACTGCCTCGACGAGCGATGTTTTGTGGTGTAGGAGCAAGTTGAGAGAAAGCTAGGGGCGGGCAAACCAAAACATGGTAGAAATCCATGAAGTCACTGACAAGTGAACTGAGTCATGTTGGTAGATGTAGGCTAACTGATTGGGGTCAACGAGACGAAAGTCACCGATGGTTAGAGACCTTGAACAACAAATCGTTTTCAATGGCGCATATGCATTTATTCTTCGTATTATCCCAAATCCTAACCTTCCGAAATCCTCATCACTTTTATATCCTTCTTTCTAAGTTTATTTCACTAAATTCTACTTCTTCAATAATATCGTTAAACCCTAATCTCTCCGATTACTGCTAATACTTCTACTATCGCTACCACTATGGGATTGGAATTGACAGTTACGTCTCTGTGCTGATACGGTATGACAACTTGAACTTATGTACTCATGTACGAAGTTCTACGTTGTAACCTACTATCTGACTCAATCCAACACGGATCGTACATCCGACTAAATTCTTAATATTTTTTATGTATTCAGTTCAAATTAACAAATTATTATCACTAATCCTCTTAATGATATTAAATAAATTATTTCATTTATCACTTTTTTAAGGTGAAACAATTTTCTGATTTTTTAATAAATTTACAATTAGTGTACAACAATATATGCATTATTTCCTCACTCCTTATATAATAGTTACAATGATTTATTAACATGAATTTTATTATCCATTTAAATCTAGAATTTATCTTATTTTATTTTTTTAAATTAACAAAGAATGTGTTGTATTTACAGACAATTTTTATATGATAGTAAATGCATTACATAATATAAGTAAAGTACATGTGTACTTTACATATTTTTTTTTACACAATTGTAATATATCATCTACTGATAGAAAAAGTAATAAAGATATGAATATAATTCATACTTTCTTTCATGATGACCTAAACTAAATTAATGTAGATAACATAGATATAAATATGTATACATTAGAAAATTTATTAATTCAATTACATGTAAACCAATTGATGAGAGTGTACAAATTAAAAAGTATGAAAAATATGCTTAACATAAAAATCACCATATATATACAAAGTACTTCATGATTAGTATGAATTGTTTAATTTAAACATTAATTAAGCAAATCTTAAAAGTCTGTTTCAGTAAATATATGTTCTTAATTTCAATTATTATTATGTATGGCATATTCCTTTCCAAATTTCACTCTTCTGTAGTTATTGTGTATGATTATTGGAGTAGTTGAGATTTCTTACCAAATTACTTGTTGAATTGTGTTTATTTCATAGTTTTTACTTATATCAGTTGGTGTTTGATGAAAATATCGGTTCAATGGTATTAGTTGAGGTGGTTGGGATATGTGTTACGTATGCCTAACAATCGACTGCCTCGACAAGCTATGTTTTGCAGTGTAGGAGTAGGTTGGAAGAATGCTAGGGGCGGCCAAACCAAAACATGGCAGAAATCCATGAAGTCACTGACTAGTGATTTGAGTCATGTTGGTAGATGTAGGCTACCTGGTTGGGGTCCGCGAGACGAAAGTCATCGATGGTTAGAGACCCTGAATGACATGGCTCAAAATCGTTTGTAATGGAGCAGGTGCATCCACTCTTTGTGTTCTCTCAAATTCTAGCCTACGGAGTTCCTCATCACTTTATCTTTTTCTTTTAAGTTTATTTCACTAGATTCTACTTCTTGAATAATATCCTCGAACCCTCATCTTTCTGATTTCTGCTATTATTTCTACTTCCTGTACTACTATGGGATTTGAATTGACAGTTGCATCTCTGTGCTAATGTGTTATGGCAACTTGAACTAATGTACGTACTTACGTACGCACGAAGTTCTACGTTGCTGAATCATCAATGTCATTAGTTCTAAGTTGATTACACATTTTCTGGTACTCAATTAGGATTCTTCTATACATATGGCCTAGTTGAATCACTTATTTAACCTCAAAAATTTACGTAATTCATTAACTTCAATTGTCCAATTTATATTCAGACAAATCTTGATATTTTACGAATCACTTTAGCTATAACAAATTAAATTCACATGAATGAATTGATCAGATTATTTATTTAAACTAAACATATTATATTGTATTGTTTTAATTTGATGAACTGATTTTCTAATTAGTGAAATAATCCCTTGGGATGATAATATAGATTTTAATCCCATTTAGCTAATGTTATCCGTGAAGTAGTGGTTATCAGCTACTCATTCCTTTAGCAATTATGGTTGATTAGTTGATTAACATAAACTTTACACTTCCTTTCTCTCTGTATTCTTATCGATCTACATCCACTAGTCATGTGTCATTTTTATTCCAGAATAAAGTCACTATGCTAATAATGCTCTCTCCAATGATCTGTGATAACAGTTAAGACGTAAAAACTCTATAAGAGTTACAAATATTTTATTCATTAATTCGTTTTAAATATCACTCTTTTTAGAATTAAGGACTTCATTGAGCTTATGTTTTTTTTTAGAAAGTAGTGTCAATAGTTTACTATATTTGTCCGTGTAGGAGTAGGTTGGAAGTTAGGGGCGGCCAGACCAAAACATGCCAGCAATCCATGAAGTCATTGACAAATGGACTGAGTCATTTTGGTAGTTGTCGACTACCTGGTTGGGGTCCGGGGGATGATAATAATCGATGGTTAGAGACCCTGAATGACATGGCTCAAAACCGTTTGGAGTGGCGCCGGTGCATTTATTCTTTGTGTTCTCTCAAATCCTAATCTTCTGAATTCCTCATGACCTTCATCTTTCTCTTCTCAAGTTTATTTCACTAAATTCTACTTCTTGAATAATATCTTCGAACCCTAATCTCTCTGATTACTGCTCATAACTTCTACTACCTCTACTACTATGGGATTTGAATTGACAATTGCATCTCTGTGTTAATGTGGTATGGCAACATGAACTGATGTACTTACATACGAAGTTCTACGTTGCATCTGACTGACTGACTGACTATATTTGTTCAGTTGTATCAACTATAATAAACACTGCATCGATGAATCTCCTGCGTAACTGTTAATCGCTCTGAATTTTTTTAGTTTTTAATGTAAAATTTCGTAAGTAAAATCTTTCGGGATGATTAATGACTAAAAGACCAAGATAATATACATTTATTTCAGCACAGATACTTTCACGTGTTATCTTTAGAATCTCGAAAACAAATTACATATACTATTTGTTTTTATTTTCTAATAAATGTACTTCTTGTTTATTGTTACATTTTCCAACTAATTAAGGCAACATAATTTGAATTCATTATATTTCATGGTTTCCCATCAACTGCTCACAACTAAATGCAATAATATGTAACAAAATGAAGTATGATACGTTGTGAAGTAATTGGTATTAGTAGTAGCCAAAGCAATTTGAGTTACAAAAATCAATAATAACTATATACATATATATGTACCGATGCGTGAACAACAGTAAGGTCATTTGACGACAGAGTTAACCCTCTTTTTTTGCTTTTTGAACTCTGTTGTCAAATGACCTCAATCCTGTTCACGTGTCATCACTCATTAGTAAACTAGTTCTTTCGTGATTAATTTTAACTTGTTCTCAATTCAGATGAAGTGATTGGTATAGGCAAGTCATGTATGTATAATAGAACAAAAAGTTTAGTATCTCTCAATCATACATAAATCAAGAATTGACTATACTTAATGATTTAATTAAAACATATTGATTATTGTTCATGCTGTCGCGTTACTTTGATATAATAATGTGGTGCGAGCTACTTATAAGTAGTATATGACGTGAGTGTCAACGTAATGTCTGGCAGCAGAAGATGTGGGGAAGATCAAGAAAGGAACAGTTAGAACACAATGGAATTTGTATGAAACACATGAATAGTGACAATGGATTGATGTTTTGCAACAGGAACAGTCCAGTTTGATATGATGAACTGATATTTTGCAAATTAACCGTTTACGATATGATTTTCCAATTTTACTGAGTAACTCTGTAATTTTCGTTAAATACTATCCGGTTGTCCCACCTGTGTTCTCGTTCACTACAATAATGAACTGATCATATTTTAAGTGTTACTATATCATCCTCTGGATTTTTCATTTCATTTATCACTTTCTCGTTTAGTTATCATCCACAAGAATATATTGAAAAAGAACCAGAATTGAAATTATGTTTGGAACAAATACGTGATGGATTTTTCTCTCCAGAAAATCCACATCTATTTAAAGATATTTATAATAGTTTAGCATTTGATGATCGTTTCTTATTATGTGCAGACTATGCAAGTTATATACGTGTACAACAAGAGGTTGAAGAAGCTTACAAAGTAAGTCAAAATCAAATGTCTTCATTATTGATAATACGCCATTGTAGACTAGTTTAACAATATTGTCAAATTTATCCTTTGCAATTTTTTTTTCCAATTTTGTGCTGTTTACATAGTGCTTCATTGATATTAGTTCAAATACCGACAATAGTAATTAATTCTTTGAAATTCGTAAAAAGCCAAATACTGGAAACTAGTTAAAATGATCTCAAACAATTAAACACTTTACAACAATGTAAAGAAATGACATACAAGTAGAAATTACGACAAAGTCTAGAACCATAAAAGGGTGTGGCTAAATAGCTGGCAACGAAAATGTGACTTGTTACTAATTGGTTTTTCAATTCCATTTTCACTCCAATCTTTTTAATACATTGAGACAGGTGTAATGTGTCTTAAGTTGTTTAAAGCTGACCAAATAGAGTAGTTACTTTATTTGTTTTAACAACACAGTGTGTATTATTTCATTCCTTTATTGAAAAGATAATCATCAGAATGCTACTCGTTTTAGTGAGTAGTATTTAAAATTAATTATATCAAAACAAGTTGCCACATCGCAGTAAAAGTGACTCATACGTTTACTAGTTGGTGTTCCTGTAGCATGGTTATATTCTACGAGGTGGGGCTGCTAACCTTTGTCCCAACTTATTTCCTCTGACCGGCCTAGGAACCGCCAGTAAACCTGAAGGATCTCCGGGTAATGTTACTTACTTACGCCTGTTACCCCCAATGGAGCATAGTCCGCCCACCAATTTTCTCCAACCAACTTTATCTTGGGCTCCCCTTTCCAGTTCTGTCCAATGTTTGTTCATTCCTCTCATATCTATCTCTATTCCTTTGCGTAATGTGTTCCTTGGCCTTCCTCTTTTCCTTTTACCTTGAGAGTTCCATGTGAGGGCTTGTCTCGTGACGCAGTTAAGGTTAAGCAATGTTACATATTTTTAAATTCATGATTAGTGTGAGAATAATAATAATAATACTTTTAATTATTATTTGTTTTCTATGCGCCGCACAGGATGAACTAAGATGGTCAAAAATGATGCTTATGAATATTGCTTCCTCTGGGAAATTCTCATCTGATCGTACTATACGTGAATATGCTCGAGATATATGGGGTGTTGAACCATCAACAATAAAATTACCACCTCCATTTGAACCAACTACAGAAAAGAAATAAATAATGCATCATCTTATCAAATAAATTATGCAGACATAATTCAATTGTTATGAATTCACATTTTTTTTCTTGTTTCTCCATTTCTCCATTTCTCACCCACTTTTTCTACCCTAATTGTGTCATTTTAGTCAGTTAGTAACTAATACTACTACTTTGAAAAAAAAAGACAAAAAACTTTTTCAGCTGATAATGTTATTCTCTCTCTCTCTCTCCTCTATAATATATGGAACCCTTTTTCATTGTTTCACATTCATCCTCCATTGGTCTACTATTTCAAATAATGAAAATTACTTTTTTAATTTCCTTATTTTGATTTTAATCCAGTTACATATATATGTAACTCGTTTAATTTTTTGATAGTCGCTTTATTTCTCTTTTTTGTTGTAATCACTTTAATCAGTAAGTAGTAGTAGTAGTGTAGTAGTGCTTGAATTGGATCTGATGACAGTTAAACACACACACATAAAACTTGCAATCATGATTATCTCTCATCTTGTAATCAAACATTTCAGCCTTGACTTCTTCCTCCTCATCCTGCTCCTACTCCTCCTCCTTTCCCTTATTCTAAAAAAAAAAGTATTTTAGATTACTCATATTCATTAGTATTGGTGTAAACCATTTTTTTTTTGTTATATATAGGAAACTATCGATTGATTATATTCTACCCGGGGGGGGACAGAGTCGACTTTTGTCTCTGTATGTGTGTGCGTGTGTGTGTGTGTGTGTAATTCTTTTTGTGCATGTGGTTTTTCTAATCACACATGACCTTAGCTTATTATTAATCAATGTTTTATTATTATTGTTATGTAACTTATTTATTTCTTCAATATTTAATTTAGTTATTTGTAAGCAAATATTGAAATATATATATATATAATATATATATATTTCTGTCAGTTTAAAACAAGATACTAATTTTTGAATTATTTCTATTTCTGCATACTTGTAGCCTCTTACACATAAATATAGTCATTTCATTCATAATAATGATAATTGTAGTTTTATTATTATTCATTAACACATTTTTGAAACCATGAATCGATCAATGTTAGACCACCATTAGAAACCTGGAAGCACTGGACGGCCGTTTCGTCCTGGTATGGGATTCCTCAGCAGTGCGCATCCACGACTCCTGCACCCCGCAGGATTCGAACGCCCTAACCGTTAGACCACTGAGCCGGTCGTAAGAGAATTTTAACTGGGCATATTGTAACAGCGAATGAAATTATTCTGTTATGACTAAAATGACTCAATAATGATAATGATGATGTTTACCTTCGGATTCGCTTAGATATTTGAATTCATGTCGTGATAAATTCTCGAATCCAAAAAATTAGAATAATTTTGAAATATTTATTCTAATACATACTAGTCCTAGTGTGGTGTGAGCTACTTATAAGTAGTATATGACGTGAGTGTCAATGTAATGTCTGGCAGCAGAACATGGGGGAAGATCAAGAAAGGAAGAGTTAGGACACAATGGAATTGTATGAAACGCATGAATAGTGACAATGGATTGATGTTTGGTAACAGGAACAGTCCAGTTCGATAGGATGGACTGATATTTTGCAAATTAACGATTTACGATATGGTTTTCCGGTTTTACCGAGTAACTGTGTAATTTTCGTTAAATACAATTCGGTTGTCCCACCTGTGTTCTCGTTCACTACACTAGATCAAATAATACTTTAGTATTCTATGTCAGACAATGATTAACTAACATTCTTGAAGAACTAATATATCTTTTTTGATAATCTTTTCTGGTTGTTTACACATTCGATTCATTTCATCGTAGATTATCAGATATAACATTCACTGATTTGACGATTACAGTAACTTGGATCTTAGTGAATTTGTTTCTGATAATAAATGCCATCTAAATGTATTTGGTTGTCTCTAATCAGGTTGACTATACGAATATTTTCCAGACACCCAGATGGAATCAAAAAAAGTGATTCCCAAGTAACAAAGACAAGAGTAGATATCAGTAATCAAAATACATTGACCATATCTCTGGTACACATTTTAATGATAAACAAAACTGCCACAGAACCTCACGATCGACAGAATTGAATGCCGCTTTAAGGTCCAGGAATGCAACTATAGTGCAATGTCGAAATGTGTGTTTATGTTCTAGTAGCTGACGAAAAGTTAATATTTGGTCTATACATTCACATACAGGTTGGAAACCAGTCTGGTTTTCTCTACACTGCTCTTCGCGAGCTCTAGTTAGGCTTCCGAGTATTTTAAATACTATATTAGTTAGACTGATTCCTCTGTGATTGTCACAAGAAGACTTTTCTAGATTTGGATAATCAGTGATTGAGACCAGTCAGATGGGATTATGCACAGTTCCCATATCCTACCTAAGATCTCATCCAATCTAACTGCTAAAACTGAACAACCATCGTTATAAATTTCAGGAGTAAGCAGTTTAATACCGGAAAAGATTTCTAACTACTTCACTTGATATCTGTTTCATAATATCTTTTGATGAAAGTTTTATGTTTGTTTTAAACAATTGTCTAGCGCTTCTTGATATTCAAATTTCCATCAGATGGAATTATATCATGATTAAAAATTAAACGCAACATTTACATCAACCTATTTATTATTTATTCAATGATAAATTTCATTGGAAATAGTCAATCTATACACTAAGAATCACTGTATATTACATGTATATTACTACGTATTACATATTTACACAATTTACATTATAATATACATTAGTTTTAAGTATATTTTTTACATATACAATATTGTTTAGTTTCTGCCCATTCATTATCTGATAAACACCAATTATATTGTTCATAAATATCAATTCGACTTATCTCCATCACATGAAATGCATTCATTGAATATTGTGTCAGATTCACTTTAACAGTTGCCTCGAAATGTGCATATTCTGGTTGAACTATTAAATGTATACGTAATAGTATACTGTCATGCATGAATTCATCATCATCATCATTCCTATTGATATTATTATTATTATTGAATATATTGAATTGTTTAATCCAATCTAATAATGACCACCATGTTGAAGAATGCCAGTTATGAAACATTGGTATACGTCCATCTTCATCTTGACTACGAATAAATCGTATCATATCTTGTGGTAGGATAGCTTGTTCTATTGACTGAATCTGAAATATGTAAAGAGAATAAATAGTAAAGTAAGAGTGATATATCCGAAATGTACTAAAGCATTTTAAATATCAATATCGACTAGGAGACTATAAAAAAATAAGGGAAATGAATTATAAATTGATGTTTGAAAGTTGTAAAAGGTTGTTGGGGTGGTTAGATCCCCAGAACTCACTTGGAAAGTGTCCTAATATTAGATATTTTTATCTTTCCGTGCATACGTCGCTTAGTTGACCTTGAGCTTATATTTCCCACCCGGGGAATCCCTGACTGTCATTGGTTGATGGATCGTTTTGGTACTCTGCTTTGTGTCTCCCACGGGCGTTGCTACCATGGTATAAATAAGCTTGATTTGTGTGCTTAGCAACCTCACTCTTTCTGACGGCCTGTAGAATACATTCTCTATGTCTTATCAAGACTTCTTGCTAAAGTTAGTTGGGGCTGGGATGACGGATTAGAATAGCCTATCGTGTCAATGAGTCATTGCTTCCGTTCGTTTACCGAGTAAGGTGAACTGGTAATAGTTTCTAGCATATCAAGAGTATACAACTACATTTCGATATTGGGACTGATTCTAGATCTAAAGTATTTGACAATTGTGTTTAGTATAGCTTCATACTTCTCATTAGTTTACATTAACAACTTCATCTAGACTTCAAAGTTGGTGAAATGAGACGAAAATGATACCTTTCAGACTATTGAGTCAAATCCCATTAGCTAAGATATTCCAAACCATTTGACGATCTAATGGTTTAGTAGTCTTATTTTCTATGATGATTTTTCAACAGACATAAAATCATAATGAAAATGTCATTCTTTCGGAACGGTTCCAGGTGTTCGGTATTGTGCAATGAGTGGGGGTTTAGCCACTCGACTATCTCAGTCAGTCAGTCAGTCAGTCAGATGCAACGTAGAACTTCGTACGTAAGTACATCAGTTCATGACGCCATACCACATTAGTACAGAGATGTAATTGTCAATTCAAATCCAATAGTAGAAAAGTTAGTAAGGGTATTAGAAGTAATCGGAGAGGTTAGGATTAGAAGATACTATTCAAGAAGTTTGATTCAGTGAGAAAAGTTTAGAAAGTCAAAATTAGACATGTTGACGAATCCAGAAGATTAGGATTTGAGAGAACACAAAGAATAAATGTACCTGTACCAGCGCAAATGGTTTTGAGCCATGTCATTCAAGGTCTCTAACCATCGATTATTATCATCTCGCTGACCCCAACCAGGTAGTCGACAATTACCGACATGGCTAAGTCCACTTGTCAATGACTTCATGGATTTCTGCCATGTTTTGATTTGGCCGCCCCTAACTTTCTTCCAACCTATTCCTACACTACAAAACAAAGCTTGTCGAGGCAGTCGCTGGTTGGGCATACGTAACACATGTCCCAAACACCTCAGCTGATGAAGTTTCACCACTTCATCTATTGATCTGCCATCCTTGCCTAGCACCTGTTTCATAATAACAGCATTGCTCACTCGGTTGTCACACGATATACGAGCAATGCTTCGAAGACACCTATGGTCGAAAACCAGCAACATACGAATATCTTCTACTCTGACTGGCCATGTTTCACAGCCATAAAGTAAGACGGAGCGAACTACTGCGCAGTACACTCGTCCTTTAGTCAGAAAACGGATACTCGACTGTCTAATTCTAGTCAATTTATATACTGTGTTTACTTGAGTTTCATGTATCTATTTATTTCTTTCATAGTCTAATGAATGAAAATCATACATTTTGTTTTTTTATAGTTAGTTAATCGAATTTCTTATCATTTATATAATTGATAACCAATAGATGATAGTTGATTAATAAATAATTTAAATGTCATTAACTAGAGAGATGATAGATAACCTAACTTAACTAGTTTTTCATTTTAATGACCTTTTAATAAACTTTTGACTATGAACACACAAAGAAAAATAAATGAATAGTTTATTTATTCTAACACCACTGTTCATCAGCTTGTCAATAAATAATAAAATGAAAATGATCTTTATTTTGTGTATTATTTGTTCACAACTCCAATAGTCAAAATGTTAAATTTGATCAAGCAGGCAGAAGTATATAGTCCAAACACACATATATATGCGTAGATAATAAGAATAAGATAATATTTTCATTATTTAGAGTTATGGAGATGATTAGTGTTTGTTGCACATTTTTGAAATCATCAATCAATCAATCATTGTTAGATCATCATTAGAAGAAACCTGGAAGCACTACTCTGGTGTGAGCTACTTATAAGTAGTATATGACGTGAGAGTAAACGTAATGTCTGGCAGCCGAAGATGGGTGAAGATCAAGAAAGGAAGATTTGAAACACAATGAAATTTCTATGAAACGCATGAATAGTGACAATGGATTGATGTTTTGCAACAGGAACAGTTCAGTTCGATATGATGAACTGTTATTTTGCAAATGAACGATTTACGATATGGTTTTCCGAGTTTACTGAGTAACTCTGTAATTTTCGTTTAATACAATTCGGTTGCCCCACTTGTGTTCTCGTTCACTACACTACTGAAACATGGCCATTTCGTCCTGGTTATCCGATTTCAAATGTGTAGTAATAAGATAATAAATAGTTCAATCCTGACAATGTATATCACTAACTAAATAACTGAATAAATTGGGCCTAATGGTTAATATAGAGTTGTGTAAGATTGTTGCGTTTCATTGAAATTTATGAAATCGATCATTAATAATCGTGAATGACGTAAAAAACTAATCTTCTATAAAGTTAAGACTAAATATTGAGATATATTATAATCTTTACTCTATCATTTCTACTTCATATTTAAAGCAGTCAATCTATTTTGTAAATTTCGATAAAACAATAAGAAAACGAAATTAATCTAGAAAATGTGATATATATATATATATATATATATATATATATATATATATATATGCATCACGGGGTTGTAAAGATTGTTAAGTTACACATTTTTGAAACCGTGAATCGATCAATGTTAGACCACCATTAGAAACCTGGAAGCACTGGACGGCCGTTTCGTCCTGGTATGGGACTCCTCAGTGGCAGTGCGCATCCACGACTCCTGCACCCCGCAGGATTCGAACCCAGGACCTTCGGTATTGTAAGCGAACGCAGGAGTCGTGGATGCGCACTGCTGATGAGTCCCATACCAGGACGAAACAGCCATCCAGTGCTTCCAGGTTTCTAATGGTGGTCTAACATTGATCGATTCATGGTTTCAAAAATATATACATATATATGCTACATATTTTGAACAATCTGATCATACGTTGGCTTGTTAAGGCATTTTTTAAATGTACAAAAAAAACAAAACAATAACTTAAGGTCATTTAAATAAAAGTTCAAATAGGCATAAAGTAATAAATAATTGATCTTTATTAGGCCTTATGCTGAAATGCTTTGTTAAGTGTTTGTATGTAACCAAATCACTCAAATACATTAGATTATTTCAAATCGACTCCATGTTCTCTCTGTCACAAACTTATGATTCACATAATAGATGCCCTATATTCACTGTGTCACAAATAACATAATTTACGTGAACAAACAAAAATGATGAAATGATTGTTATGAATTTAAGTTTTCTATAAATGATATAAACATTGAAATATGTAGTAAATAATTTCATTTCATGGATTCCTATCTCTTTTCGACTTCATTAATTAATCGTTAAACAAATCATTTTATTTTATTCACTCTGTAAAAAAGTGTTTAGTAAAATTATCCATTGGTGGTAACAGGCGTAATTATGTAAGTAAGTAATAACAAGTGAACTATAACATAGGACAGTGTATCTAACGATTCCTGTATTATTCATATTGTGGTGCGAGCTACTTATAAGTAGCATATGACGTGAGTGTCAACGTAATGTCTGGCAGCAGAAGATGGAGGAAGATCAAGAAAGGAAGAGTTAGAACACAATGGAATTTGTATGAAACGCATGAATAGTGACAATGAATTGATGTTTTGCGACAGGAACAGTCCAGTTCGATATTATGAACTGATATCTTGCAAATGAACGATTTACGATATGGTTTTCTTATTTTACTGAGTAACTGCAATTTTGGTTAAATACAATCCGGTCGCCACACCTGTGTTCTCGTTCACTACAATAGTTCTGTTCGGTGAAGAGGCTGGAGAAATGTAGAGTCTTTTGACCACCCTGAGCAACAAGGCAAGCATGTTCGGGATGCGGTTTTCCCCCTCGAGATGCAAAATGTTGCTTCAAGATTGGGTTGCATCGGCACCTGAACTAGTGGTATGGAGTGAAAAAGTCAAGCGTGTAGACCGGTCCACTTATCTGGGGAGTCTCATCAGTGCTGATGAACTGGTGACTGACGAAATCTCAGCACGGATGCAGAAAGCTCGATTGGCTTTTGCCAACCTGCGTCACTTATATAGTAGGCGAGATATCCATATGCTAACCAAAGGATGACTGTATTGCACAGTAGTTTTCTCCGTCCTACTTTATGGCTGTGAAACATGGCCATTAAGAGCGGAGGACATTCGTAGGTTATTAGTATTCGATTATAGATATATTCGAAACATTGCTCGTATATCCTGGGACAGCCGATTAAGCAATGCAATAGTCAGGAAACCAGTGCTAGGTAAGGATCGCAGATCAGTTGATGAAGTAGTGCAACTCCATCAGTTGAGGTGGTTGGGACAGTTATTACGTATGCCCAACCACCGACTGCCTCGACAAACTATGTTTTGTAGTGTAGGAGTAGGTTGGAAGAGAGCTAGGGGCAGCCAAACCAAAACACGGCACAAATCCATGAAGTCACTGACAAGTGGACTTGTAGTGTGTCGATTTACTGCGTGTTCTTAAGCTCGGTTTATAAATCAGAACATGAAATCGTAGTGATGAATACGTTTATTCGGGACACACCACAAAGCGAAGTGGAGAAGCAGTGAATAAAAGAAATGAAACGACGTGAACTGGACAAGGCTTTTGAGCCAACTCCTTGGATTACAATGCGAGCGAATGGGCGAAAGAAGCGATGTGGATAAGTCTAGTGAGCCAACTCAAAGAGATAGAGCATGACTAAGAATATATAGTCAAACAAAAATAAGACAGACATATGACAAGCGAAATACGAATTGTATTTGCGTGGAACATTCTAATAGTTTTTCCTCTGGTGTTAGGAAGACTTAACTATAGAGCTGTTGTGGTTTTGGGTGTTGCGTTTGTGTTGAGGACTCGACTACGGTTCGTGGACTACTTAGGTGTAATTGTCTGTGGGTTGGGTTGAGATTTGGCCGGTGCGACCTAAGGCGCGAGTAGGCGATGCTGTGCAACTGTCCAGGTTAGTTTGCCCATGAGAAATCCTCCTGAGACTGTACCGTACGTAGTTTTACGTTACTATCGATTGATTGATTGATTAATAGCTCATATCAAAGCCAAGTGTCCAAAGAACTCTAGTATCTAAACTATAGTAGATATTAATGTACTGATAATCACATTTACAAAAATACTACAATTTTTAGAATAAATAATCTAATTTGTGACTTACTTTATAAAAACTAGTCATTGAACAATAACCATTTTTAGTTGATTGTGGTCGATATTTCACAATCATTTGATTAATTCTATGAATAATTGCATTTATGCTTTTGACAATTAGTTCATTTGAAGTAAATAATGTTAAATGATCAATATTTTCTAATGTAATCCATTTTAAACAAACACACCAATGTGAACTAATATAAGCATCATGACAATTACGATTCAAGGGTATTTGTTTAAATAATGTTATTCCACGAGTAGGATTAGTGAACCAATTCATTTGAATTTTATTGAATTTTTCAATAAAATTATTATTATTATTATTATTAGCAATTGTTAATTTTAATTGATTCATTAATAAATCACGTAATGTTGCATGTATATCAAATAATGTAATTAATCTATTTTGATTATATTTTAAATTGGACCATTGAACAGACCATTTTTCTCTGAACATTTTAGGCGCTATAATTGACATAAATGGTAATCTTTCTTCTAATTTGCCCTATTTAAAAGAAAAAAAAACAAACAAATAAATATGGACAAATTTATTGAAACTATCAGAAACTACCTTGAGAATAGAAAGTTTCGTACCAAGGTAAACAGAGTGCACGCGAGTTGGAGAGTATCCACATCGGGAGTTTCACAGGGGACCATCCTAGGCCCACTTCTCTTCCTGATATTTATTAACGACCTGTTAGGTTTAGTTAGCTCACCGGCATTGATCTACGCAGACGATGCGAAGATCTGGAGGTTTATTAGAAGCGAAGAGGATTCAACTGAGCTTCAAAAGGACCATACATCTATTGAGAAATGGGCAGTGAAAAACGCTTTAAAACTCAACCAACCGAAGTGCCACGTCATGCATTTCCTGCCTCATATGACGCAAACGACCTATACTCTCAATGGAAGTCCGCTCCCTAATGTCTTCTCAGAGCGTGATCTTGGTTTAATAACCACAGAAAGCCTCCATACCAGTCCAAACTATGTAGAGGATGCAGCCAAGGCAAATGCGACTCTTCACTTTATGCGAAGACAGCTTGGTGCTATCACCCCGAAATTATTTTTAACCCTGTTTAAGACGTACGCGCACCCACACCTGAAGGTTCACAATATCATCGCACCCCTTCTGCTTAAAAGAGACATAAATCTCGTGGATCGAGTGCAGAGATGAGCAACCAAATGGGTGATAGGGTTGAAAAATAAACCCCACGACGACAGACTCCAGCTCTTGGGATTATTTCCACTGAGCTACAGGATAATCAGAGGTGATCTGATTATGGCGTACACCATATTAAACACGCCAAACAATCCCAATGTGAGCATCTTACCGATACATCACCATCACTTCCCTCGAGGCAATCCTCGAAAGATTGCACATCAAAGAGCGAATACTCAGATTCGTGCACACTTTTTCTCATTGCGAGTCGTCGCAACTTGGAATGCTCTCCCAGCCGAGGTAGTTACAGCCCCCTCAGTGGACTGCTTTAAGAAGAGACTTGATAATCACGTACTCACATACGGACTATCATCTCCCTCTTGGACAAGCTGTTCATGATGCATATCTTGAGACCTGCTAGTTGTTACCATTGCCATCTCCTCAGATCACTCAATTAATCTATCTCGCCTATTATCTCTGTTTCCTCTCCCTTGCTTACACTTCGGTCCTCTCTCACAATCTTCACTACCAATTAATAAACTAAATTCATCTATATATTACTCAGTTCTGAAATTTTATTCATATTATCATTAGAATTTTATCCTTATTACCCTTATTACTCTCCACATTGCAACTAACTGATCTCCGGTTTGGTAATGTGATGGCTGCTGATATCCAGAAACCCTACTGCCCTGAAACAAACGTTTCATTCAAATCCCAAGACATACAAACTCACAACCAACTGCCAACTGACTAGAATTAGACAGTCGAGTGGCTAGACCTCCATCCATTGGACATTACCGAACGACTGGAACCGTACCGAAAGAACAAGAATCGAGCGCGAAGAAATCAAATTGGTTTACACTAGCTCGTGAAAAAGATATTGGATATTGGAATCGATGTATTTTATTGAATTGGTTGAGTTGCACAAATAGAAGACGGTTTGAGTCAAGAAATGTAGAGATTTTTGGTTTTGGACTGGTTCTGTATGGAAGTACGGATGCTTAGTATTGAGTAGTTATGAACAAGAACGGCCTAGATGCATCATATCACCTTTATTTCAAGAATTCTACATACTTTATCGATCTGCCAAGGGATCTACCATAAAACATTCTAGAAATAAGCAATGAAAGTTTCTTTTAAACTAAGATATTGTATATACAGGTATATTCATCAACTTTGATTGTATGCAAGTTTCAGTGGATACATTCAGACGGATACCTTTTAATGCAGTAGTTGCTGAAGTTTAGAAAGTGACTAATCTCTGTACGATGAGATGAAAGCTAGAACTAAAACTCACTCCTCAAAATGATTTAACTGAAGTCTTTCAATGAATGATCACCAAGCCAAATGACAAGATGCCGCTATACAGCAGCATGTATAATGTCAATTTTTAGAATTTAGCACTAATTGGTTTCAGTAATCTTATCGATTAACATGATAATTGTTTTAACGGCTAATTATGATTCTAGTGACCTTTAATGAATCAGTAAGTAAGTATATTTAAGTATGCGAAACGAATGCTTAAAAAAGGCCTTCTAATATTTTACTTTATCTCAATATAATTTCAAGCATTCACATTGTTCTTGATTATCCGGTTAGACAAGTGTAATAGATTAAGGTCAAATGAGCATATCGATTTACGGAGAAAAAAAATCACATTACTGAGTTTGGTAATTTTATGGCTTAATAGATTGTAAATTCGTATTTCAATTGTCAAATGACATTGTTCACCTTGAAATTTTGGTGTGTTCTACTCACAACGAAGTTTATACATGGTATGCAGTGGATTTGCAGTATGGTGTCACTCGGAAGTTTCAGCTAACACAAAGAATGTCACATCCAGATTTATGGCATGATTAGAGTGATTCGAAGAATGAAAGATATATGGAAGACGGTCAAAAGGTTGCTTACTGTGCATTTGTATCTTATAAATCACTTAGTGAGTTGTCTAGTCTTATCGCCATCATTTGTTACACCATTTTGTGAAAAATAGCTTCTCATTTAAAAACCAACTAAATTGTAAAATTATCTCCCATAGAAATTATTCTATATTTTCTTTACTCTATGTGTATGACCTCATTCCTTTTTTGTGCACAAAAAAATCATCGTTGTTCACTCGGCCAAAAGATAAATAATCACAACAAATTATAAACATTCAAAACCAGATTAAAAACATATAAGTAAACATTACTACCTCCAATAAATTTGGACAGTAGATAGGACTGAGATTTAAGACACGCCTTACATCTTAATTGGGATCTGTCATCTCAGTTAACCTTCCATCCATTGTTATTGTTTACATTAAGACGAGAACCCGGTACCTTCTGCTTTAGAATTATGATTAAACGGTTATATCTAGATAACCCACTAGATCCAAGTGGAAAAGGAAATCAGGAAGAAGCGGTGGACGTGGATAGGAAACACTCTACGAAAATCACCCAACTGCGTCACAAGACAAGCCCTCACATGGAACCCTCAGGGTAAAAGGAAAAGAGGAAGGCCAAGGAACTTATTACGCAGAGAAATAAAGAAAGACATGAGAAGAATGAACGAAAACTGGAAAGAACTGGAAAGGGAAGCCCAGAACAGAGTTGATTGGAGAAAACTTGTCGGTGGCCTATGATCCATTGGAATAATAGGCGTAAGTATGTAAGTAAGTAAATGATCTAGATAACCCACTTCGGATATATATATATATATATATATGTCAACAAACCTTTACAAATACTATAACTTTCAGTTAGATATTTCTTTAGGCTTGTATTTTAAGTCGAGGTTCATAAATTTACTTGGGCTGCGTTATGTTCGTCGTCAAGCTCACCAATTCTGTGATGGATATGGGCTCACCAGTTCTGTGGCGGTCCGTATTCGATATATTCTTAAACTATGCTCGTCCTAATAACCTTTACTAAATAACACCTAATAGTTTAGAAATCAGAAGACGAATACGAAGCATTGAAGACATTCATTATCTCACCACATACAACTCAAAAAACCACAGGTATATTAAATGAAGGTGAAAATAACTTGAGTGCCGAAGAGCAAGCGAGCGAATCAATGAGCACACTGGTGAATGGGATTAAAATGTACATATATACATAGGAAAATGAATGTGTCATCGGATCAATTAAGTGGCTAACATCAAAGCGAGTAGAATGAATATGAATGTGGGCTGTAAGCAATGCTTAATCATACCTGCTCACCCAATCGCGACAATAATAAAAGCACAATGGTACAGATAAGTTAGGCTATACAGACAGACAGCCAGATACAACGCAGAACTTCATACGTAAGTACATCAGTTCAGGTTGCCATGCTCCATCAGCACAGAGACGCAACTGTCAGTTCAAATCCAGGAGTGATAGCAATAATAGAAGTATTAGCAGTAATGGAGAAGATTAGGGAGCGAAGATATGATTCGAGAAGTATAATTTTCAGTAAGATAAATTGAGAAGGAGAAAGGGAGAAATTATGAGGAGTGCAGAAGCTTAGAATTTCATAGAACATAAAGAGTGGATGCACCTGCGCTATACGAATAACTGTCTGTTTAATAAGTTAATCAATAGGGCTTAACCAAATTAAATGTATACAAACTCAAATATAAATGAGATTCTAAAACATGTTATAAAACACACAAACTAGTCAAAGTGATTTGTGTGCCAGATATAATGACAGCTGTAGTTTACGGAGTGAATAAGTGTTGAAATTCCTATGAATATGACCGTAGGTGCATGAATAATAATCGTGATACAAAAAATAAACAAAGTAGGTTAAAACTATGTAAAATCATATAACACCAATGAACAAACTGTATAGATAAACAAAGTTTAGAGCCAGTAAAATAAGTAGGTAAATATATAAGTTCCAATCAGTCAGTCAGATGCAACGTATAACTTTGTACGTAAGTACATCAGTTCATGTTGCCATACCACATCAGCACAGAGATATAATTGTCAATTCAAATCCAACAGTAGAAGAGATAGTTAAGGTATTAGGAGTAATCGGAGAGGTTAGGATTAGAAGATATTCAAGAAATATGATTCAGTGAGAAAAGTTTAGAAAGTCAAAACTAGAGGGGTTGAAGAATCCAGAAGATTAGGATTTGAGAGAACACAAAGAATAAATGCACCGGCGCCATTGCAGACGGTTCTGAGCCATGTCATTCATGGTCTCAAACCATCGATTATTATCATCTTGCTGACCCCAACCAGGTAGTCGACAACTACCGACATGGCTAAGTTCACTTGTCAGTGACTTCATGGATTTGTTCAATGTTCTGGTTTGGCCGCTCCTAACTTTCTTCCAACCTATTCCTACACTACAAAACAAAGCTCGGTGGTTAG